GGCGGGCGGGCGGGGAGCCCTGAGGGCGCGCCCCGGGCCTTGAGAACGTTTGCTTTTGTGAATGCGTGTTTGCAGTACGCAGTGACCAGGCGTTCCGGGCGGAGTCGGTGCGGGTACCGACCGCGTCCGAGCCGCTCCCGCCTTCCGAGGCGACCTAGGAAGCCGAGGGGGTTTTGGGTGGGGGAAGCGCGCGAGGACTCTGCAGCCGCCCCCCTCGACGTGTCGCCTGTGCTGGGCGGGAGTCTCGAGTTCCCGTCTCCGCGGTCGCCTGTCTCCCTGGCCGTGTGCAGAGCGTGCGCGGCGTCGCTGAGACCGGACGCACGTAGGCTGTGAGGGTGCGTTGCTGTTTTGCGGTGCTCTCCCGTGTGCTGGGCAGCGCTAGCCAAGTGCTCCTCAGCCCCAGGCTGTGTTTTTTCATCTGAAGCAGCAGGTGCTTCATGGTGATTGACTCTGAGAAAAGACTCAGTCGCTGCGACCTGGAGCACTCGAGGGCATCCCTGTGGGGCAAGGGCAGAGAGCGAAGCAGGTGGGAAAGAGCTTGATCTTACAGCCTTAGCCAGGGGGAGAAAGGGCAGACCAGTGAGCTTAAGGCAGCAGACTTGGAGGTAAGAGAGGGCTTTTGGTGGCACAGGGAGACTCATGCATTAAAAGTCCGCATGTGTTCGAAAGCACTCTCCGCTTTTCTGTGCTGCCCCTGTTTTGTGTTGGACTGAGATGCTGAGAGAGTACAGGTCGTTCGCCTGCCGTTTGGGAGATTTGTGACTGCTCATAAGATGAATGCATAACCTGCCCCTGAGGCCAGGCCAGATGGTGCACCCCTGTAATCCCAGCATGGGAGGCTGAGGCAGGAGGATTGCTGTGAGTTCTTTTTTATTTTTTATTGCTGTGAGTTCAAGGTCAGCCTGTGCTACACAGCAAGACCCTGTCTCAAAAAAACAAAAACCCCCCACAAAAACAAAAACCTGCCCCTGAGGATGCTTGTCTTGCCGGGAGGTGGGGTTGGGTGGGGGATGTCGACAGGGGGATTTAGGTTAGAAGCCCAGTGAGTCCAGAAGGGCAGGTTAGGCAGAGTAATTCTGTCATAAAGTCGTTCTCAGATATGGTGAGTGAAAACCTACACCTATACAAAGCATTGTAAAATTTGGAAGGGAGGGGTGGCAATTGCTGGAGAAGGAATCAGTGAAGTTGTTAGTAACTCCTTGTGCCTCAATTTCTTGACCTGTAAAATGCAGATACCAGTAAGCCCGAGCTGGTAGGGTTGTCATGTTAAGTATTCCCCATTATTATTGTTACTATTATTAAAGTAAGTAAGAATGGTGCTTAATACACTCCTAGGGCTTCTATTACTGTGTTTTTAGGGTGAGCATCTAATGATGTGTGTGTGTGTGTGTGTGAGTGAGATACTCATGTTTTTTGTGGTAGTGAGAACTGAACCCAGAGCTCCCAGCATGCTGGGCAAGCACTTCACCACTGAGCTACACCTCCAGCCCGGTGGGTGTATTTTTAGAAAGTTTATCATTGATTCTGAGCAGAGTGAGGACGGAGTATGTATTTGGAGGTAAGGACGATGGCTTCCTGAACGCTTGTCGTCTTCTTGAGGAAACAGACATAATCACAATGGCATGGTAAAGGCTGGACTGGATAGGAGATACAAGATGCTGCTAGCAGAGCAACAGCCTGTGGAGCTCAGGGTTCTCGAGCAGTGATATTCCCGCTGGATACTGACCAGGGCTGTGGATAGGAGGCGCTGTGGCTGTGGCAGGGACTGTTAAAGAACTGGGTGTATCCAGACAGGCTGAGGGATTTGTCCATGTGGAGCACAGAGTACGTGAATGGGAGAATTCAAAGAGGTGAGATTGAGAAGGCAGGTAGGCACGACGTTGTGAGTGGTTTTGTAGAAGTTTGGGCATAATTCTGCATAAGCAGGTCAAGTGCCACGGTCACATTTGTAGTCTAGAAATAGAGCTAAATGGTTAGGGGCATTGGAGACTGCATGGTGGATTGGCAGGGGTTCAAAGAGGGATGGTATAAGCTTGACCACAGCCAAGGAAAAAGAGAATTAAGCAGGGTGTGGTGGCCCATGCCTGTAATCCCAGCACTCTGGAGGCTGAGGCAGGAGGATTATTGTGAGTTCAACACCAGCCTGGGCCACGAAGTCAGCTCAAGGCCAGCCTGAACTGCATAGTGAGACCCTGCTCCAGTACCAAAAAAAAAAGAATTGAGAAACAATGAAAACCAAATGGGAGTAGGGGAGGGCAGGGGGCTGGTCTGAGGGACACAGCCAGGCGGAGCCTGAGTCAGCAGGGGGTGTTGCTGGGGGAGCTGGCAGCCAGCTGAGTAGGGGACAGTGGGAATACACCCCCCCACCCCCCGCCCCCGGGAGGGCTGTGGCTGTGCTGTCCTGAAGGGGGTACCATGTGTCGCAGCTGATTGCTTCCTTCCACTTCTGCGCACTTAGTGTCTTAGAAAGGTCTGTGTGCTGTACCTAGAGCTTTTCACTTCATACGTAAGCTTTTATCTTTGGTGGAACTGAGCTACTTTAGAAAACGAAGTTCTTAATAGTTACCAAAACCTTGAGTTTCACTGATAGTGCCACAGATAGTAGGATTTCAGGATGACACGTTGAATGACAGAGTTCATAAATGTATGTACTTAATGGAAATACTCAGCTTGACATGGCAAGTAGCAAATGTTAATTCTACCAGTTAAGTTAATTTTTAAAAGCAGGCATTGGAACAATTGTTCTGTTTTGTTTGCAGGGTTTTTACCTCCCATAACTCCACCGGAAAAGTTTTTTCTTTCCCAGCTGATGCTGGCACCCCCAAGGGAGCTGTTCAAAAAGACGCCTCGCCAGATCGCGCTGATGGACGTGGGGACCATGGGCCAGTCCGTGGACATCAGCGGGCTCCAGTTAGCCTTGGCTGGTAAGGAGCAGTTGCTTTCGTGTCTGTGCTCACAATGTGTGCACTACATTGTAGCCTTCATCTTGCTAAGGTTAAGATACTTCATTAAAAAGGAAAATTTCTGAGCATTCTTTTTTTTTTTGGGTACTGGGAATCAAACTCAGGACCTTGCGCTTGCCACAAAAAGGAAAGTTTCTGGATCCTAAATGGAAGGCTATTCATTTTTTTATGCTGTTGTGGCATATAAAATTCGTGACTAGTTGGGTATAACAGTATACAACTCATCCCAGTTCAATGGGAGGCTGAGACAGGAGGATCACAAGTGTGAGTCTAGCCTGGGCAACTTGGCAACTTTGTGAGACCCTGCCTCAAAGAATTAGGAAAAGGGTTGGGGATGAAGCCAGTGTGAGAGCCCTGGGTTTAACCACTAGTACTGCAAAAAAATAAACTTTATGACAAACATATTAATTTTTCTTTTTTCTTTTTGTCTTTTTGAGACAGGGTCTTGCTATGCAGTTCAGGCTGGCCTTGAGCTCAGTTTGTAGCCCAGGCTGGCCTCGAACCTGCAATGATTCTCCTGCCTCAGCCTCCTGAGTGCTGGGATTACAGGCATGTGCTACCACGTCTGGCAAACATATTAATTTTACCACACAGTTGCCAATTTAAAATTTTTTCCAATATCCTGGTCCATAGTATGTTGTCTAACTTTTGTACCTCCATAATCAGAGATGAAAAATGGCACTGGGATAATGTTAGCTTTTTTTTTTCTGTTTTTCTTTGAGACAGGGTCTCACTTTGTAGTCCAGGCTGGTCTTGAACTTACTATGTAGCCCAGGCTGGCATCAAACTAGCAGCAGTCCTCCTGTCTCAGCCTCCCAAGTGCTGGGATTACAGCATGCCCGGCTAGCATTTTTCTTACAAAGTGAACAAGGTTGAACATCATGTCAAATGTCTAAGACATCCACCTTTTCTTATTTTGGCCATTTTTCCTTTGGGTTGATAGTCTTCAATCAGAAATTTAGCCCTCTGTGTTTGTAAAATGAGAAGATCTGAGATACATACTTCTTAAAACATGTTTGTTTCCATGTTAAGGAATTATCATAAACTGAACAGGGCAGTGGCCCTCCAGGCTAAGAAGTGAAATAGGCTGGGCCTGGTCAAGCACATCTGTAGCCCTGGCTACCTGGGAGGCTGAGGTGGGGGGATGTCTTGAGCCCAGGAGTTCAAGACCAGCCATGGGCAACATGGCCAGACCCTGTCTCAAAGAAAACAAAAACTATTTTCAGGGCCTGGAGGCTCCCCGTGTTTCTCTTTCCCATCCCTAACCCAACTTTTGTGACGCTGTATTTGTGAGTCATCCTGTATTTATCCTCTCATTTCTTCGGATGTCGCCGGAGACCTGCGCTGGCAGCGTGTCCCTGCAGTAGCCACTTTTCATTGCTGTTGTGCATTTGTACAGGGTCTGCATGGACGTAGCAAACATTCCTGTGCATTCTTCTGTGGTACACATGAAGATGCTTCTAGGTAGAAAGATAGGCACTCCTGCTTTACTACACAGTATCAACTTGTTTTCCAAAGCTGCTGTCAAATGGTTTTAAAAAGTTGCATTTTTCCTTCCCAACTGCAGTGACATACCTCATAGCTTGCATCACTTTATGATGCCGATTTGCTATTTTTTGCCAGTCAGATGGGCATGTAATAGTGTCCTTTGTTGTAACTGAACTTTCCCTAGCTCCTGACATCGTTTCCGGCTGCTCACTGGCCGTTTGAACTTTTTTTTTTTGGTAAAGGCATTACTGTCTTTTTTCCAGTGGAACATTGGTTTTTAGGAACTAGAAAGTGTATTTTGTGTGCACACAGTCTGGCCCATTGTTTAGTGTGTTACAGATACCTACCCAGCTAGCAGCTTGCCTTTCACTCGCTCGTGGTACTCGCAGTTTTCAAAGGCCTCCTGTTTTCTCTTCTCTCAGAACGCCAGTCGGAATTGCCAACACAGAGTAAAGCCAGCTTCCCTAGTATTCTCAGCGACCCAGACCCGGATTCTTCTAACTCTGGATTTGACAGCTCGGTGGCCTCTCGGATCACAGAATCTTTGGTCAGTGGGCCCAAACCACCTATTGAAAGTAGGTGTATATATAAATTCATTTTAGACTCTTCATTCATTTTCATAGTATCCCCTAGAACTTTTCAGTTTTTTAGAAAGACTGTATTATCAACTAAACTTGAATTTAATGTGAAACTTTCTAAGATAGTGTATCTAATAGAGATGTTCAGTGCAAATTCATTGTTTTCTTTTAAAAAATTATACTGATCAGATTTATCATAAGCATACCTGCAGGTATAAATTCTCTTATCTTTACTGAAATGAATGTTGTTTTGTTCTGTTTTGAGGCAGGGTCTCACTATGTGGTGCAGGCTGACCTTGAACTTATGTAGCTCAGGCTGGCCTCAGACTTGAGCTTCCTGCCTCAGCCTCTCACGTGCTGGGATTACAGGCATGTACCTTCATTTCCAGCTGAAATGAATCTATTTTTGAAGCTTTTATAGCTAACAAGGAGGTTATTTTATACCTGTTTAATAATCTTACCACTGTCAGTACCTTTTCCACTTCAAAGTTTTACAAATTTTAGAGCTTTTAGTTGCCTTAACTCAAAGAAACACTTACTGAGCTGAGGCACTATAGCTGCCTCTTTTGGTCCTGCAGCTGTCCGCACGGAGTGATGGTGAACTTGCGCAGCTGCTTAGTGAGAACATGCTCTCTGGACCATAGGGAGCTTGAACTTCTCTGTGACTTTTCATACCGCTGGTTTACACCGGAGCTTTGGCATACGTGGGTGGAGCATTTAGAGTTGTAGTCAGTCACAAGGGTGCCTGCAGGTCTGCAACAGGTGACAGTTTCTTCTTAGGATGGTACTTGCTCAGGCGCAACTCTGAATTGTGGCCCCGGCAGGCACACGCAAAGCACATCACTCAGACTGCATCTGGCCGCCCCGCTCCGCAGGCTCCCGGGCTTGCGTGAGGAGCGCGTCCCATTGTGGGTTGAAGATTTGCTCTCTTTGCAAGTGGTCTGAGGAGAGATTCCGATGCTGGTCGTGAAGGGACAGTGACACTGAGGCAATGATGGAGATGTCTGACGATTGTCAGCCGGAAAACAGGCGATGGTGGTAAACAGTAATCTCTTGTTTGGCAGGAATAAGCCACCTCTGCCCTCTGGAAGAGTGAGGTGTGATGTTGAGCAGAGGCCGTAGCTGGAGTTTTAGTGGGAACGTGACTTACACACCAGCTTTGTTTTATAAAGTAGCTTCATAAGTCCCTTCACTCTCCTGTTGTACTTTTGTTTCATGAAAATGGATACAATACTGGAATTTCAGCATTCGTGAATTACATTTTCACTTGAAAACGGCAGAGAGGTCAACCAGTATGTGTGCTTTCTTCTTTCATTTTATCGTATGTCACTTCACGTTATAAAGTACAAAGATAAAACTAGTACAAATCTCAGTGGTTTCCGGACAAAATATTAGTGCCATCTTAGAATGAATAAAGACAAATAACCTTTCATCTCCCATCAAAGACGTACTCATCGAACAGTGGTCACGCTTGAACTGGAAGTTGTCAGGTCATTTTCTTCTCTCACCAAAAGTAACAGGCTTAGCCTCTGGCGCGGTGCTCCTACAGTTTTATTGTGTTCTTGTTTATATTCTGAATATGTAATTTCATCTTCTGTAGCATTCTTTCTTCTCATGTTTAAGTGTGAGACTTTTATACTTCATGAAGTGAAATGCGTGTGAGATGTGTACAGATGTTAGCTCACAGAAGCAGTCACACACCACTGCTTTTATTACAGGCCATTTTCGGCCAGAGTTTATCCGTCCACCGCCTCCGCTGCATATTTGTGAAGATGAACTGGCTTGGCTCAATCCCACGGAACCCGACCATGCGATTCAGTGGGACAAATCTATGTGTGTTAAGAATAGCACTGGGGTGGAGATCAAGCGAATCATGGCCAAAGCCTTCAAAAGCCCCTTATCTTCTCCCCAGCAAACACAGGTACGTGTGAATTACAAGCTTTTAAAAAAAAATCCACAAGTTTTTGTTTTTCATGAAATAACAAGTAGTAAATGATAACACAACAGTAGGAAATCTCAAAGGTGTCGTTCCCCTTTTTGGTATTTTAGCTCTGCTGGAGCGAGAGGTCCAAACGAAGATTTAAAGTATTTTAATATCTGCTCGTGGTCAGTGTGTGTCTGGGAGAAGTGGAATGGGAGGGGTCTCACTTCTGGGGGTCCCGCCCCTGCTGCGCACCAGCACGCACTTTATATACCCTGGCAGGAGTGGGATAGTCACTTGGAAAATGCAGCCTGGCACGTACCTGGCTGTGGTGGGTTTGGCATTAAAACTGCTGTATTCCCGGGGCGGCTTCCGTAGGGCAGAGGCACACACTCTTATGAGAAGTTTCTGCTTGGTGAATTGCTTTCAGTTGGCACATTTTCAAGTTAGAACTAGGAGGGAGGTAATTCCAATCTAGTGTATCCTCAAAAATATTTCCAGGTCAAGTAATCGGTAGCTGTATTTGTATTCTACTTTGTTAGACCGTCCTGAAACAGAGCTCACTGTAGGTAGGAAAAACAGCATAGGAAGTCTGAAAGAAGATACTTGGCCAAAGAAATGTTTGAGGGCATCTACTAGAATCGCAGAGTATGGGTGTGACTGAGCGTAAAGCACCACAGGGGTGACCCGCAATGCCCTGGCCCCACTCCATCTGTTTTCACCTGGGCAGGGCGCAGCAGGCCTGGGTTGAGCAGGGTGGGGCTGTTCTTGCTGCTGTCTCCTAATTCTCTGTGACTTTGGGGAGAACTTGTTGGCAATTCGATTACTTTTGGTTATAAAGAATGACAGGAAAAACCCTTCCACAAAGAACTAGGGGATGACACACACATCCAACCAATTATCCAGTCTCATTTCATGTCCAGGAGTCACTAGCAGATTTGTAAATTGTCTTATGTGTTTTTACTTCAGTGTTGTTATGTTTCAGATTTAAATTTTAAAATGTCAAGACATGATGATCATGAGTTTGAAGGAAGAAACTTATAAAATAGGTTCAGTGAGAATGTTTTTATGTAAAATACTTAATTTTTCCTGTAGGGAAAAAAATTTCCAATTTGACTCAATCTTTTTCTTTAAAAATCTGCTTTTCTTTAGCTCCTTGGTGAGTTGGAGAAAGACCCCAAACTTGTTTATCATATTGGCCTCACTCCAGCCAAACTTCCAGACCTAGTGGAAAACAACCCTCTAGTTGCTATAGAGATGTTGCTGAAATTAATGCAGTCCAGCCAGATCACCGAGTATTTCTCCGTGCTGGTCAACATGGACATGTCGCTACACTCAATGGAAGTTGTAAATCGGTGAGTGTCCCTATTCTTTCATGTATGAGTGGACGTAGAGAACCTGATTAAATGGCTTCCTGCTACTTTTGGTCTAAAATGACCCACTAGGAGATAAGCTGAGTCTCAGTGTTCAGGGCACGTGAATTAGCAGCATTAGGAAGAACTCAGAGGCTGAGTCCAGCATACTTCATGTTAGTAAGAGTAAATGAAAACTAAGGGCTAGGGATATAACTCAGTGGCACAAGCACCTGCCTGGCAAGCCTAAGGTACTCAGTTTGATTCCCAGTAGCAAAAAAAAATAAATCATGGTGGCACACGCCTGTAACCTCAGCTCTAGGGAGGCTGAGTCAGGAAAATCTTTGCGAGTTTGAGACCAACCTGAGCTACAGAGTGAGCCCAAGGCCAGCCTGAACTGCACAGCAAGAACCTGCCTCAAAAAGGAAAAGAAAACCAAGTACTGTGTGTTCATAAGAATAAATGAAAATTGCAGAAATTTATGTCCCCATATAATTAAATCACCTATTAGATGGACACTATGTATTTTTTCTGGGAGACTAATAGCTGTAGCATGGAAAAGCACAGGTCTCCCTTCTCAGACTCCATCTGCTTCATTACTGTGCTCTACTGACCATCAGGAAAGGGTGCATTTCCAACCACAGGCTCTGGGCATTGCATGTCTTGCACTGGCCTACGTATGTATTTTCAGTATATTATGAATCACATGGCCCTGAGAGGGCTAGTGTGGGGGCCTTGAGTACCAGGCAAGTTAGAGCACACTTTTAAACACCTTGTTGTGAACTGTATTTTTTTTTATACTACTGGGGATTGAACCCAGAGCCTTGTGCATGCTAGACAAGGGCTCAACCACTGAGCTACATCCTCGGCCCTTTTTAATTTTATACTTGGTGACAAGTTCAGATTACTGCTTAACATGTTTCTTTTGGCTTGAACCACCAGTGGTACATATGTGACTGTCCCATTCAGTGGCTTGCGCCACTGGTGTTTTTGTTAATAAAATTAAAAAGCTGCTGGACGGGGCAGTCATGCAGGTACCACTCACGGTTTAAGCTTCCAGCAGCAACACACTGAATTCCGGCCTTGTCATGATCACGTTAGTAATTGCAGTTTGTAGTGCTGAGTATAGACTTAAAAGCAAAAGTGTCACTAACGAGTAAGTAGTTGTGGCTTTGGGGTTTCTTTCCCGAGAATGTGTAAAACTAGAAAATTGGGCTCACATAGCAGGCATTTTCACCAGATGACCACAGGCAGCTTTTTAGCGGAATTAACAGGCCTGTTTTTCTTTTGTGCAACAGACTAACTACAGCTGTTGATCTACCTCCTGAATTTATTCACCTTTACATATCAAATTGCATCTCTACTTGTGAACAAATTAAGGATAAGTATATGCAGGTAGTCAAAGTTTCCATAAATTTCATAAATACCTACTAGGAAAATGAGTGAACTAAAACACGCATTTTCTTTTTCAGAATCGTTTGGTGCGTCTTGTGTGTGTCTTTCTCCAGTCCTTGATCCGTAACAAAATTATTAATGTACAGGACTTGTTTATTGAAGTGCAGGCCTTCTGTATTGAATTCAGTAGGATACGAGAAGCTGCAGGCCTGTTCAGGTTGTTGAAGACACTGGATACTGGGGAAACGCCTTCAGAGACCAAAATGTCCAAATAATACCTCACTAGAACCACCCTATTCATCGTTCAACTGTATTGTGATTAGTTTTTAAAACTCGAATTTTTTAAAATTTAAGAGTGGATTGCTTGCTCTAATGCATATAAATACACTTTATCTACTTAATGCAAAATTTTACTTTTCCTGGATGGTTTTTTCCTATGGATGAACTTTTGGTAAGGACCTGGGAAAATGTCTTAGGTGTTCTGCAGATGACTATTCATAGGTGGACCCATGATCCCCAAAAAGTTACTGAAAGAAAAATAATTTCATTTTTTTTTTTAAATAACACTAAGGAATAAGTTGCCTGTTTTTGGTTGGCATGATATAGGCTTCTGATAAGTCAGAAATCCAGTTTTCCTGTGGTTCCAGTGTTAAGACATTTTAAGATTTGTGATGTTTTGCTTGTGGCAGTGACAGCAGCTCAGTGTAGCTCCTGTCTCACAAAGGAGCCTTATCCACGGCTGTGCTTGTAACTATCCTGCTTTTTGTGGGGACTTTTAGAAACAGACCACAGAACAAAAGTCTCGCAGGCCTCTTCTAAACATGGGAACCGTTAGGATCCTTTTTAAGCACTATTTTGTTTTATCACCCCACTTAAGATGGTCCCGTTATCACCCTGAGATTACCAGTTTTTGGTCTTATTTTTAAGGAAAAACATGAGTAATGCTTGGGGAGATGGTGTTTGGAGATGGGAGCAGGGGTGGTGCCTGGCTGTCAACCCTGTGACTCTGGGTAACAGTGCCTTCCATTAAAGTTCTTTTTTATCACCTGTTGGCTGGAGTTTTTACTTGAAGAAATCATCCAAGGTTCCTTTTATACAGGTACTTCCATGGCGTACTTCCAGGGAAACAACCTGTGAAAGAACCCTGTGCTCACAACGGCATAGCACTTCATCGTGTTCAGGGAGCACTTTAACAGTGAGGTGCCAAGCAAGTCGGAAACATGAACCAGGGCGCTGCCATGACCAGGGAGTAGGTACTTGAGTGCCAGTTCCCCTCGTTCAAACCCAGGACCCTGTTTTCATCTCCATTACTGCCAAAAAGCTAAAACGAACTAAATACTGAGCAACTCAAATTTTTCACTACTCTGCCTGCATGCGATGCTTGAGGATCATAAATTCTGGGCAAATCCTCAACTGCAAATATAGTAAGAAGGAAATACGGCGTTCACCTGGAAAACACTGCTTACAAAGAAAAGTAACTGGAGGAATGGTTGGAGAACATTTTATTAAAACAGTAAGATTTACACCACCAAGAGGTTTTATTTTGGGGTGCAGTGTTGGGGACTAAATCCAGGGACCCACACTGTAGCTGAGCTTTGTTCCAAGGCCTTTTTATTTTTTTAAAATTTTTTCTGGTACCGGGAACCGAACTCACGACCTTGCGCTTGCCAGGCAGGCGCTGTGCCGCTGAGCTAAATCCCCAGCCCCCAAGGCCTTTTAATTTTTAGACAGGGTCTCACTAGTTGTCCAAGTGGGACTTGAACTTGTGTCGTCCTGCCTCAGCCTCCTGAGTAGATGAGTCCAGCACAAAAAGTCTGCTGGCTAGACATACTTAAAAGACAAGCTGGTCCTGATCAGCCTGTATCTGTAGTTCCAGCTACTCAAGAGGCTGAGGCAAAAGAATCACTTGAATTCAGGAGCTGGAAACCAGGCTAAGGAACATAAGACATCTCAAAAAAGCCCATCTACCTGAAGCGAAACCAGTCTTGAGATTCAAATCACTTAAGTGTAAACGAGCCCTATTTTAACTCAGATTAAATAGAACACCTTCAATTCTTGGGATTTTTTAGTTCCAACTTCGAACTTTAGTATCTTCAAATCACCTGTTGAAGAAAGAGGACAGCAGTAAATAATAGCGTGGAAAGAGAAGTTATTTCTAAAGAAAATAGTATGGGATCCTAAAACATAACCAGTAATTCTCATCAGTAGTATTCATGTGAACAGCTTTACAAAAATAGTAGCACTCAGTTTGCCTAGCACATACTCAGTGACAGCCAGTTTTGAATAGCACACTGTTACGTATTTTAAATGTCCTGAGTTCCATGGGAATGACTCCTTTAAGGACAGAGTGTCTGGAAAACTAAGAAACAGGAAAAACTTTACACACTCGTATTCTAACAACCTCTGCTTACTAAAACTTTTTGTTTTATATTTGCTCTTTTGCTGTTACATAATCATTACTGTTCATATCAGAAAAGTGCCTAAGGTGATCAAAAGCACCCCTGTAATCCTGGGATCTGACACCCAATCAGCCAACAGGAAGTACTACTCGCTATTCCCTGCTTTCTCACAAACCCACGACAGGCTCACAACTCATCAAAAGGATAGACTGACAACTCTTCTAACATTCTAAATGAACAAAGCATGAACAGGTTTTTCTTTTTGGTTATTTGGATAGGGTCTTGCTATATAGTTCAGGCTTGTCTCAAACTCATGGCGATCCTCCTGCCTCAGCCTCCTGAGTGCTAGGACTATGGGCCTGTGCTACCATGCCCGAAAGGTTTTTCAAGTCACAGCTCTTTTTATATTTTGTTGTAAGAAGAGGGCATATCTCTAAGAGGGCACAGCTGATTATGACATGGAAGACATGTCACTTTTATAACAAGCAATGCAAGGACTAGTATTTTGAAAATTAAATGCTGGGAAGAGTTTTTAAGACCTTAAACTAATAGCTGGGTAAGGTATGGGTAGCTTTTCTAATTTGTTATGTCAGACGCCAACATGTGTTTCAACACAAAACTAGCTCTGCTTTAAGTCAGTGTCTGGAAATTGCAGAGGAGGGCTTATACTGAGCCTGTAGAAACTGCTTTTGACTAAATGTAATTATTTCAAGATCCAGTTAGCAATATATACATCCTGATTTAGTCTCATCCTTCATGGAACAAACTTTAACGTGCCCAACAGTCACTGCTGGCAGCTTACGCTGTCTCGCCAGGGAGTTTACACTTGGTATTTCATCCAGATCAACACACGGCACACTTGAAGTTCTACCAGTCACAGCTCTAACATCCCTTACTACCCGGCGAGGCATGAAGCTCCCACCCTGGCAAGGCTGAGGTCAGGCCTGTGTTTCGCTTCAGGAGGTTTTGTCACTGTGCACCCGCACAGAGAGCAAACTGTACACGGGGACACTGCAATTCGGCCTTTTGTGTCATCATTCCTCAGCAGACACGGCACAACCCTCAGGAGAGGGCTGCTATGCTCAAAACCCCAAAGGAGCTGGCACGTGAGACTATTACCTGCTGGGCGGTGTCCTGTGCTACATCTCTTTGTCCGTATGTTCTCTGCTGGGAAACAAGGGTGTGCCAAGCAGAGTGGGCAAAGTGAAGAAGCCAGGCGAGCAGGCGGGGAACCACGGCGAGCTTCAGTGTCACACACATGCTGCCTCCTTCACACTGTCACCTACGGTTTTCAAAGTTAAAAAACACTGCTCCATGCTGTAATGAACAACGGCATTCATGACAATTGTTAGGTGGAAACTGATTACTGCCATCAACAACTAAATCGAAGCTCAGATTTATTACGTTTCACCTGGATTCCCCAAATTCCCAGCATCTTACCAACTTCAAAGTTTCAGCAAAGAATCTGGTAAGAGTTATGGAGAGCTGTTTCCACAGCTGCTGATCAACAAATCACACTTCCATAATGATCACAAGTCCCCTGTTATAGTATCCAATAGGCGGTGGGATTATTAAAGCATGTTTCCCAGTCTGTCTCTTCAAGGACAAACAGCAAACAGTCCACTTGGCACAGAAACACGAATGTATGCACTATCTGCGCTGAGCACAAAAGATAGACTTTACATATAACAGTTGTTATGCAAACTAACTTTGAGGTGGTTTGCTAAAGATGCTCAAATTCAGACAAATACTCTATTCCAACAGCTCCTCATATTGAATCTGGGCGCTGCGGGTGTAGCTCAGCAGCACAAGCACCTGCCTGGCAAGTGCAAGGTTTTGAGTTTGACTCATGGTACCAAAAAAAAAAAAAAAAAAACCATTGATAATTTCCTACCATTTTGTCTGTAATTTGCTAAGTCCCCCCTATTTTTAATTTAAAATTAAAAAAAAAAAAAAAAAAGCAACGTGTCATATCAAATCTGATTGTATAGCTAATTTCAGCAAAACTACTCATCAAGAGGGCCGGGGATTTAGCTCAGCGGCACAGCTCCTGCCTGGCAAGCGGGAGGTCATGAGTTTGATTCCCGGTACCAGAAAAAACAACAACAACAACAAAACACCACCAAAAACTACTCATCAAGTATTTTACTATGATAGGAGCTAAAATCAATATGCGTACAACAAACTAACAAAACCCGCTTTACAGACAAATAACCTAAGTCTGCTCTAAGGATAAAATTCTATATAATTTTTGAATTATACTTTCCTCAATGAACGTTGATTTTTTTCCAATAAAGATATACCCAGCAACTAGTTTAAAAGCAATGAGGGACACTTGTACATTCTAAAATATAATTGCCTCATAGTCCTGACTTCCTGATCCAGAAAGTGAGAAGAGAGCGTGTGCATCTGATTATGAAATGTAGCTGTGTGCAGAAGCTTCACTCGGCCTAAAAGGCGAGCAACAAATGAGTGAAAGAGGACAAACAGTTAAGCAAAGGGGCCTCAGTGGGGCCTCAGTTTACAAAGGCTCAGGTCTGCAAACAGAAGCATTTGGCAGAATTTGTTTTTGCTTGCAAACTCTGCAGAGTGGCAAACAACCGTGGGCATCTTTTCCAGAATCGTAGAATGAATTAAGTTCATGAACTGAGGTCCCGCTATGCTGAGTCTGCTTAAAAATTAATCAAAATTGCTTATTTTTTTCCAACAAAATCAAAATTCTTCATCTATCATCCCTTTAAAGATTGTTACAGTTGGAACCAATACGTGACGTGACCAAAAAATAAAGAGAATGCTTAACATTTATTACAGTGGAAGCCCTTCAAAATACTCTCCCTCATTTCAAACACAGCGATCCTGCTCCTTGCCACATTCTGCAGCAGCTCTGCAGGCCTCTTTCCGAGTGTCTTTAGCTGTGCTGTTGTGGCTGCCTCGATGTCCTGAATCCATTTGAAACACTGGCTTCTCATGGCCATCTTGACATCGGGGAGAAGCCGGAACCTGCGTGGTGCTAGGCTCAGCGATGAGGACGTGCCCTGAGCTCGCCTTCCAGCAGGCTTCTGGTCGCTCAGGAAAGAGGCCTGCGTTCTGCTGATGTGTACACCTAGCTGCCTTATCCATCTTCTGTATTTCTGTCCACTACCTCAAACTGCATTCATTCTCTCAGTTCTGAGGGTATCTTGGAGAGACCACAGCAACCTGCAAGGCAGCACGGTGACAAGGGAATGGGACAGCAGGGAGCCGTGGAGGCTGCTTTTAAAGGCCACAACTCACGCCAAGTCTCTTATTTTGCTTGTTTTTTTTTTTGTCTTTTTGAGGCAGGGTTTCACTATGTAGTTCAAGCTTGCCTTGAACTCACTATGCAGCCCAGGCTGGCCTTCGACTTGCAGCAATTCTCCTGTCTCAGCCTCCTGAGTGCTGAGATTATAGGTGTATACCACCACATCCAGCGAAAATTACGAATTTCTATCTAAGAAAATATAATGGAAGTTAAAAGATACAGAAGTTGGGGAATGATAGTAGAGCATGGTGTTCAGTGTGTATAAAGCCCTTAGGTCAATCCCTAGCACAAAAGGGAAAGATGGGGGGAGGGACGGACAAAATATGCGCTTTAAGAATTAATATGAAAAAATTAGTATCTCTATAGAAAAACTAAGAAAAAAAGTAGCTGTAGATAAAATGAAAAAAAGAGTGACCTCATTAGTAACCAAAAGAATTCACTATAACCCACCTAAAACATAAAATAATTAGACAAGTGGTAAAAATGTACATCGTTTCAAAGAATTGATAATAAGCATTCGTTAATAGTTCAGTTTTTTAAAAAAAATTTGAGGGTCTTACTCTGCAGTTTAGTCTGGCCTTGAACTCACCGGGTAGCCCAGGCTGGTCTCAAACTTGCAATTATCCTCCTGCCTCAACCTCCACAGTGCTGGGATTACAGGCGTGCACCACCATGCTGGGCAACAGTTTAAAGAAATTACACAAAATTGCTGGGCGTGGTGGCACAGACCTGTAATCCCAGCATTTGGGAGGCTTAGGCAGGACAATCACCAGTTCAAGGACACCTTGAGCTGCACAGTGAGTTCAAGGTCTGCCTGGATTACACAGCAAGAGCCTATCTAAAAAACCAAACCAAACCAAACCAAACCAAACCAAACCAAACCAAACCAGATAACAAAAAAACAAAATCTAAAATGTACAGTGGTACTTCTGTTTGCGAACTTGCTTTCCATGATTCTGGTTTCAAACTCAACTGGACAAGAACTAAATCAAATTTAATGGTTAGGTTTAATGTTGACCTTATGGGGGAATTTGATTCAGTTCTCATCTAGCTGGGTTTGAGACCAGAACTGTGAAAGATCTAAGTTCTTGAACTGAGGTACCACTGTAATTCTAGGCAGCAGTAACATATCATCTACTCATTTATACAGTTTCATATAGTAAAAAAAGCAGGCTATGTAACAGCTTTAAGTCACAAGCTCCCGTCCTTAAATAGGGAAGAAGATCTAAAAAGTCATTTATCCAAAGTTTGAAGTGGTATCTCTAGGTGTTAGATTATGGATTTAATTCTTTGTTTACGGCTTTTTGCATTTGGGAGCTTCTTAAAAGACACCATGCTAAGAAAGCCCCACCAGTCTCTTACCTAGCAATGCTGCGTTTTTCCCTACATCCTCAGCACACTTGGCAGGGCACTGAGGCCCAGGTTCACTGGGGGATGGTGACGAGGATGATGAAGGTGAGAGCCGGTTGCTGCCAACGCTTCTGTCTTCAGGCAGGAACACCCCCCTCAGAGTCTCAGCAGGAGCACTTCCAGCATCAGATTCTGCAGCAGGCAGCTCCCGCCCACCACCAGGCTGTCCCTGGAGAAGAAAATGCTCTTGCTAAGTGACAGGGTTGAACTTTGCCTATCTTTTGCTAATAATTCATAGCAGATGGCATTTACTTTTGAGCACAAATTTGGAAAGACCCACATCCCTTCTCAATAAGCAGTGTTCTAACCTCTACACGTTTTTGTGAATGCCAGCATCCCCTTTGATACGAGCAACATCATCTTTAAGTTATTTGCTGACAGAAAGGACAGCTTTCCTACTCTCCTGCCTCCTTGGGGAGAAGACAAGAGTCGGTCTGGCCTCAGAAATGTCACCAGCTGCCATACCTGAGGCCAGGGCTGGGCTGTATCCCTAGCAGAGTGGTGCCGCTAATGCATCCCTCTGTCCTCCCCAGTACCCTGGTAGTAGGAGGGCCTCCTAAGTGAGACTCTTGCCATGCCGTTCCCACCAGTCCTGAAAGTGAAATCCCTAAGAGTCCCTGGGCACCGGGCTGTGGCTTGTCCATATTTGTCTCCCAGAGCCCTGTTCAGATCTCACACATCTATGGCATCCTTTCATCAGGATGGTCAGAGGCATGTGACGGGCTGCCGGTGGCTGTCACGTGGGTGTGAGGAAATGGGGAACTAGCCTGTCACGGCCATCAAGTATGTTGACTCCAGGAGGGGCCCACAGGTCTAAAGGTATCAATCACAAGCAAGATGAGTAAATTTCTTAGTGTCAAAGTTATTACTGACTTCTATTCTTTAAAAAACACATCATTCTGAGAACACATTCTTTAGCATTCTGAAATTAATGTTCTAAGAAACCAACTTAATCTCACATAAAGTGCAAACTAGATTTTCAATACATGAAATATACTGGAGCTATGTCTCTTAAAAGGAAACTCAGGATGATAGTCTATGAGCTAAGGCCAGTGAAATTCCTTTACACAAATGTTGAGAAACAAAGGAGGCTAAAAACTACTAACGAAGAAAGCAACTTGGTGTGAGCTTCAGCATGTGCCTGGTGAAGGACAGTATTCTAAGACTTTGCCAAGAAAAGGACCCGCCAAGCTCCCGGAGTCCCATCAGGGAAATGCTCAGCTGTGGTAACCTAATTTCTGGAGCACAGGGCCTCAGTTGCCAGGGACCATGTTGTGCCATGCAAAGGACAGCTACGACAGCTAACATGCTCATGAGGGGGCTGAGACACCTATGTCTCACTGCTGGGCAGCTGAAGTCACCAGTGGTGTATGTGTGGCTGTCCCACTGGGTGGCTTCTTATTTTTACTATTAGTAAAAAGACTGATTAAAGTGATTAGGTCCACTTGTATCACTAGTGGTAGAAGCCACCCACTGCGACAGTCACACATGTAGCACTGGTGATTCAAGCCAGCAGGAACATATTAAAAACCATCGGTAAGTGAAAATGGGAAATTGTAGAGGAAAGATGGATTTTCAGACAGGGAAGGATGAAGAGGTGGTGGTAAGACAGTTCTGGGATGCTGACTTCCCCCTCAGTGTGCTTACAGAGCACCCTGGGACTCACAGGTGAGACACAACCACACAGCAGAACTCGACGGTTAAGAGCCAATGCACGCGAGTGCCAGCCAGGCCTCCCTTCTGAGTGTAAGCTATACTGAGACCTGCAGTCCTGGGGGTGATGTCTTCCTGTTGACCCCATTTTACGTGCTTACAGGGCTATCAGGACTTAAGGTGTGTACAGTGAGTATCACAGAACAAATTCCTTGCAGTTTCTATTTACCATAAATCACAAAAACTAAAACTGTACCAACAAGAGAAATAAATTTGACAATGACTTCTTTCTAGGTTTTTTAAGTTTAAAAACTATTTCTTGAGGGTACTTCGAGACATTAATAGAATATAATATGGAAACTGAAAATAATACCAAATATAATAGCCTAGAAAAATCTACTTCTCCCATGTCTTCCTCTAGTAGTTCAGAACTTAGACCCTACCATTAAGCAAACTTGTGTTTGAAAGCTGGACAAGTTTCTCCGGTATTAAATTTTGAAACCCAGGAACAGAGGGAACTGAAAATGTTGGCTTTTGTTTCCTCATGTGTAAAATGTGTACCTTAAGCCAGAAAATATATGAGGCATTTTCTATACCATACATTTTATGATTCTTGTTTGCAAAAGACTAGCTAGTATATATACATTTTGCAATGCAATATACCAAAACATGTTATTCTAAGTAACTGTAAACTCTCTGGGAAACGTAGCATATTATTCTATAATAAATTTACTTGCTGATTTGTTTTCGACTACTTTAATAATTCATTTTTTACTACAGAGAGAGAACAACTTATTTAGAAAACCACAAGGATATCAGGAGTATCTCATCTGTTCCTTTTGCCTTTGGTCAATAATGAAATAGAATCACTCAGGAAGAACCGGGGCAGAGATTGAATATAAACAAAAATATAACAAACCCAGTATCTCAGGGCTTTGATGACATCAAGTTTACACATTGGACATGTTCGATGATCCAAAAGCCATGGGTCAATGCATATGCTATGAAAAATATGCCTAAAAAGATTAAGTATGTGTTAATGCTTTAAAATAAATGTTTATGTATCTTATAAAAAAATAAGACATTCTATCAATTCATCCCTTGTTACATGTTAGCCAACATAAAATCAACTTTCTAGTTATTTAATCGAAGGCATTATTTATTCTACTTCCCACTTCCAGCAAATTCTCCCCTTCGCTCCATGAACAGCATGGCTTATTTCCACTTTGCGTAAGGTTTTAGTTTTGTATGTCTTAGGAAGTTCTTTGCAAGCCTCCTGGATTATATGTGGCATAAACTAATATTAAACAGTGTCCTATGTAAGTTCATAAAATGACTCAAATGGAAATACAGCAAAATATTAACAGATCATTAATGGGTGGTAGGCTCAAAAGCATTTATTTTCTTTCTTACACATTTTAATGCATTCTGTGTTTTTCTATAATGAGCGCCTATCAGGATTTTTAAAAAGCATGTATGTTTTCTTTCGGTGATTTGTCTTAGTTGTTCATTTTCCCTTCTAAATGATGAAGGCCGGGTGTTAAGAATACAGACAGACTGGGCTCATGCCCCAGCTGGGCAACTCTGCACCAGACTCCTTCCTCTCTGCTCCCACATCATAGGGTTCCCCGAGGGGCACGTGCACCAGGATACACAGTGCTGGACATGGCATGTACCTAGAACAGTTCATTATTACTACAGTCTTTTGCAGACTTTTTCTTTAAACAGAAACCCACTACCTCGGCTAAAAAAAAAACAAAACAAAACAGTTCTTGCTGGGTCTGGTGGCGCACACCTGTAATCCCAGTACTCGGAAGGCTGAAGCAGGAGAACTGCTGTGAGTTCAAGGTCAGGCTAAACCACAGGGCAAGATCCTGTCTCTAAAATAACCAAAACAGTTCTTCATGACAGTGTTGTCCAATGATGTTAAACGTATGGCATGTGTGCCGCTGCAGTGGGCTTTCTTATCACTGAAAGCTCTAAAAGGTTCACCATCACTGGTCTAGTCCAACTTGTCTTTTGACTTTTCTATTCTCAAACTAAAACTGACCAACACAAAGGAGTTATTTTTACAAAAAAACTCACAGACACAAATACTGGTTTTATTGGGGGGAAGTGTTACATGAAGCACAAGAGAAAATGGGGTTAGCTAAAATCCCCACGAGGGAACCAGGCAGCATGCACCCTTCACAAGCCTGAGCTTGAAGGTCCAGGCAAACTGCAGCCTAGCCATAGGCACAGACCTAGCGCTGACACCTGTGCTGAACGCAGAGCAATGTTCTGAAGCCAGGAAGAGCCGCCTCAGATCATCCTACATAAAATCCCTTTTCTACCTTAATGACTGGCTGCAGGACAAAGTCCATCCGCACCGAGCCCAACTCTGTAAGTGCCCCTGCAGCAAACCCACGTAAATGCCTCCAGAGCCGAGCCAGTGCCCTATTCAGGAAACTACTACTCTGTGATCCCGCTACTCATTCCTTTACCTCCTTCACAGTGTTATCCCGAGTTGTACGGACTATAACGGACACATATTAAAATACTGTGGGAACATAATTACAGTAACTTGGGACTATGCTTCTAAATGGTGTTTAGTTTAACTGAGATAGATCAGACTTAAAATATACAAATGTCTGCACAAAAACTGTTCTGCTAACAAACAATTCTTCTGAAGAGTTATCCATTAAAAGTAGGCTATTGTCAAAAAGGAAACTGCAACTTCTTGTTGCTACAATTGAGCCCCAGTCACTGCAACCTGAGCGAGGGTGGAGTATTTATTTTACCCAACCTCAAAAAAAGACCCCAGCCCAAGTCACTGTCCTCCAGACCCACTTCCTGCCCGATGCTCCCAGCCTCCCTCTGCCCCTCCTGACACAGTGCACTCTTCACGTGGCCAAGTGTATGTGAGTCCAAGGGCTCCACAGAAGCCTCGCTCCTGAGGCCACAGCCTGCCCGACAAAGGCAATTTTAAGAGGTCTTAAGACCTGAGGTTCTTCTGAAAGACATTCTGACCCAGGACAGCAAGATCTTCACATCGTAAAAGACATGGACCACACCTATCAGAATCCTGACATCTGTCAGGCAACTGTGAAAGTCTCAGTAGGTAAAAACGTACTTGCATGGTAGGATTCTGATGAGGTCATTGACCTTAAAATGTTCTATACACACTGCACAGTTCTCAGCATCAAGATCAGCATCCTGAAAAAGAAGCAGAGAGAGTTGACTTTCTCCATGGTATACAGCACATCCTGGATTGTAAGTGCACCATATATTCTGACTAAGCAATGGTGGACTCTAGTCTCTCCTGGAATGACCTTGAAGTGAAACACAGATAATTTCATCTATGCTTAGGAGGTACCTAAAAATCTGCTGGGGAGGGAAATTTTTCATTGTCCGACTAATCAGATGTGGGGCTGGGGGTTTAGCTCAGTGGCAAAAGCGCCTGCCTGGCAAGCGCAAGGTCGTGAGTTCGGTTCCTGGTACCGGAGGAAAAAAAAAAAAACCAAAAAAAAAAAACAACAACCAAAAAAAACAGCGACTAATCAGATGTGAACAGGATTTAAGTACTAAGTTAGTGCTCCGGAGTTTTTAAAAAAAGTATTCATGCTTTAAAGGCTGTAGAAATGCAAATACTATAATAAAATAAATTACTTTTCAAACATAAAACTTACAATATAAAGAGAGTAACTAAGAAGCTACTTGTTTTCTAGAATCACTACAAAGAAACAAAGATGTGCTAAAGGGATAGAAGCTGTAAATGAGAAAATACATATGGCTACTTATTTGCAAATACCTCACTAGTGACAAAAGAATTACATATTATAAAAAGTTACTATTTTTCATCTAATGAATGAATGAAAGTACAGATAAAGGTTGCTAAGGAAAAGCAGTCTTTTCGTTTTCTTTTAGTAACATATTTTATAGTACAATATGATTGTGTTCATTATGGGGAGCTGGTATATGTACCTAACACATATCACCCCCACCCCCGATATCTTCGTCTTCCTCCCCTTTGAAAAATATCTGTCTCAGGGGGAAGCAGTCTTAGGACAAGATTTTCACTTGTAAGAATCTATGGGTGACAGAACTTTCCACTGGTGACAGCACTCCTCACTTCTATTAAACTATTACCTTGACAGTCTTCAAAAAAACAGCCCATAGCAGGGCATTTTCAAGAAGGTACTTGTAGAAAGAAGATATCATTTCTTATGTGTTCAAAGAAGATAACATTTCTTATGTGTTCAAAGACTTGATTCAGTAAGTTACACATATGTGAATCTATGTCATCTCGTATTTGAGGACTGTGACGTCCTACAAAGGAGAGTAGGAGGCATGTTCCAAGAGGAACACAAAAATGGCTGTCAGCTACCTTTGCTATGCTGAACCTGTGCAGGATTTGCCAGACGCTAGCTGGGAAATCCCTCCCTAATGACGCTAGGTGATCTGTTAATCAGATGCTAACCTTAAGCAAAAGAAGTGAGTTTTTAAAAATTACTTTTTCTGTTCAGTACATTTGTTGCATGGAAGATGTTAGTACTGTGCACGAACTATTACAAGTCAACTGTACCACAATGTTAGAGCTGCTAGGGAAGGATGGTAGCCACCAAGACACTTTAAGAGTACCTTATACTAGACACTAGACATCTGAAATGTAACAGAAAATGGCCCCCTCAGCCAGTATACTTCAGTTTCTTAGTTGCCCAGGTAATAGTTCCTATTGCTTCTGTCTCCTAGAAATAGCTGGTCACTGTGATGCACAGCTGGTCACTAGGATGCGTATTTTAAGAACCAAAAACAGCCAAGCACCCTACCTCTGTACTTCCCCTTTGTGATCCCATAAAAGCCTCCCTCCTTGAGCTTTCAGGGCCTGATATTTTGGGAATGATCTCAATCAGTGCCCATCAATGTAAATGAATCTGCTTCTAAATCCAGGTGTGGTTTCTGTATTTCTGCTTGCTGTTGCAGAAACACTAGATACTTGGTAGCTACTAGGACTCAGGAACTCAATTTTAAATAAAATGTAACTCACTGAAATTGAAACAGCCGCATAACTACTAGTAGCTACTCCACTGAACTGCAGGTCTTTACCTACAGGGTTTCTGCCAGCCCTCCTTCAGAGCAAATACCTACATGGAAGTCAGCATCCACTCAAGCCCGCCTGTGCACGTCCTGTGCATCAGTGGCCAGCAGTGGGAAGGAAAGTATTCTCAGAACACATAACCACATCCTGTATTCCACACAATGAAACAATGTGAAAACATTACCTTTTCTTCATGCTTTACAGTATGCAGTGGAAGCTGGTCAATAACTTCCTTAGTTGCCTTTCTACAGCTCTTGGGGAGGAAAATAGTGTTATTACTAAAATTTTTAAATCATATTTTTTTATTTTTTTTCTTTTTGAGACAGGGTTTCGCTATGCAATTCAGGCCGGCCTCGAACTCACAGCGATACACCTGCCTCAGCTTCCTGAGTACTGGGATTACAGGTGTGAGCCACCATGCCTGGCTTAAAACACTATTTTTGAAAAAAATCATTCACTATAACATAAGCAAGCATACAGAAAAAACTCATCACAAAAGGAAAGTTAAATGACTTCACTGAAAATAAGGAAAACTCACTTTTTCGTGTGTGGTGCTGGAACCACGCCCAGGAAGTCCCATATTCTAAATATATGCTCTACTACTGGGACTCACACCCAGCCCCAAGGAACCAATTCCTGTGTTTAAATATTGGTGAGTAAGCGAGGATAGGTATAACATCCTCTCCATACACTAAGGTCCTAGAAGAAAAGCGTCCTGCCTAGGCCTCAAGTTAGGAAGGGCACTTTTCACGGGCACAGAGGCAGGCTCTGCAGGAAAGGGCTTGACAGCTGCTCCGCAGGAGACAGCTAGCCCCTCCTCTCTGCCCTCTCAGGTTGGGCCTACAGCAGGGCAGGCTCAGTCGGCTCATGCCTTTTTGTCATTCCTCTGTCTGGAAAAGGACAAAGTGTACAAAGTGATCCAGACTCAAACATATCTAACTTTCCACACAACTGAACATTTAATACAGTCCAATTAAAAAGTTATTTTCAAAAGTCATCTGAAAAAAAAAAAAAAAAAAAAAAGTCATCTGAACACTTAAAATGAAAATGAAATTAAGAATGTGCGAATAATTTCAAGCAATACATAAGATGAATCTATGAACTATCTGTTTAAAAGCACAATTATGTTTTCCATAATTACCTGATTTGCAGAGGTTGAGCTAGTAAATAAGAAATACTGCACACAGTAAAACACTATCGAGGATAGTAAGAAAATCATTATGGTGAGGAATGCAAAAGGCTGATGACTGCCAGTGAGCTGCACATGACTGGTTCCACTCAGTATGGTCATTTTCACTAGGATTCCTTTTTCTATCAGATCCAAAATTTCTTGTGCTTTTGGGTGGCTAATCATAATGACCACTATATTTCCGATTCCTGTAAGAAAAAAAGTATCAATATAAAGAACATAAGAAAAAGTTTAGAGTACTATGCTCATCAACACACATATTTGAAAACTTTGATAGAACAGGTAATTTTCAAGGAAAGTATCAATTACCAAAACTAGCTCAACAACAACAAATAAAACAAAAAAACAGACACATCACATTTAGGAAAAGTAGAATAAACCAGCAAGAACTATCCTCCAGAAAGCAGAACACCATTCAGTTTCAAAGGTGAAGTTTATTGAGATCTAAATTGTTCCATAGCTGACTGAAAGGAAGATTTGAAATCATTCCTAAGATTTTACTACTATTATTTTTGTCATTTAGAGACAGGGTCTCGCTATAGAGTTCAGTCATTCCTAAGATTCTAAAACCAAACATGGTATTAAAAAACAGAAGAGCAAGGTGTCGTGGTGTATGCCTGTAATCTCAGCATTCAGGAGGTTGAGGCAGGAGAACTGTCGTAAGTTCAAGGCCAACCTGGCTATATAGTGAGTTCAAGGCCAGCCTGAACTGCACAGTGAGACCCTGTCTCCAAAGAAAGGGAGAAAAAAAGGAAGTCAGCTTGCAGAAAACAAAACACAAGAGTTTCTCAAAAAGCAGCTTTAATGAGATATAATTCACATACACAAAAAACCATCCACTTAAAACACACAATCCAGATTTTAAGTAGATTGGCAAGCTTGTGCAACTATTACCAACACCTTGTTCTGTAACATTCTTATCACTCCAAAAAGAAACCCTGTGCCCAGCAGCACTCATTACCCAACAAATGGAGGTTAGATATGTGAAAACTCATGGTCCAAATGAAAACATGCTATTTGTAAGACTAGTGAAGACTGAAGTTTGATATACTATATTCGTAAGGACATGCACGTCACCACTCTTCTTTGAAGGATTGAAACCTCCCCTTTCCCACATGCTAGGCAAGCTCTTCACCATGGAGTTAGAGCCTTAGCTCTTTTAAAAAAAAATTCAGTTAGGTTTTTACTAAGTTGCCCAGGTTTGCCTTGAACTGGTGATCCTCCTGCCTCAGTTTCTCAAGGAGCTGGATTACAGGAATGTACCACCAAGCCTGACACGATATGGGGGAGGGGCGTGAACTATTACATTCTCGTATGGGCATAGTGGCTGTCAAAAAATGTAAAAGCAAGCGCCTGACACAGCAACTCCACATCCAGGATGTATTTACATCGTCCCCACGATGATGTATCTAAATTTCACTGCCAATGTTTTCTTTTCTAAGAAAGTACTGTAGTATGCATTCTTACTGTAAAACCAAGACACCAAAATGAAAGATACAAATTAACTGTCCTGATAATTCTGGACTCCAGGACCTCTTAATGCGAAGGTCAGCTTCCGATTGAAACAAGGTGTATCGACAACAAAAATAGCAGCAGGTACTGAGGATGTGTTCAGGACAGTAAATGACCATGTGCGGTGAGGAGGAATACAGGCAGCTTTTCTATGTCTCTCATTCTGTAAGTGTGTGCTGCATAATTTAGCAGCTTTGGTGAAAAATGCTTTCATTCAGAAAAACTGGAGGTCTTTTCTTTCCTGCCCTCCCCACAAATTTCAGTTCCTGACTAGACAAGGCAATCAAAATAAGGTGACAGTAGTTTCAAGACTCTAAATGTACTTATCATCTTTCAACATTAACATGCATTTATGAATACCCAATCAGGAGAATGAATTTTCTCCCTTAGGAAATTTTCAATCAAACCAGAGATAAATTAATCTCACTTGAAAGTTCAAAAAAGGGGGCAGAGGTTATAGCTCGCCGGCACAAGCACCTGCCTGGCAAGTGCAAGGTCCTGACTTTGATTCCTGGTGCCAAAAAAACAAAAAACAGTTCAAAAAAGGATCCACAATAGTGTTTGTGGGGCCAGGTGGGTAGCTGGGTGGTACAGTGTGTGCTTAGCATGGGCAGAGCTAAGCACCACACACAGAGATAACCATTCTGTGCTGTGTGAACGAGAAGCATCCCTCCCAAGCCACAGTTAGCAAGTCAGGAGGAACTAGCTGCAGAGGGATCCAGTGTATCTACAGAGAAGCAAGGCGACTCTAGTTTCACCTAGAAAGAGGACTCCCGCTAGGTCTGGCTGTCAACTGTACCCAGACCTCAAAAGATCACAGGGCCACCTACCTGACAAAGCTGCAGCACAGAACCAGCAGAGTCAAGGCCCAAGGTGACCGAATGCTCAGTCCCCACCTCTATGTCACGCCTGGCTAACATTACCGCTGAGGGTGGTAAAGCAACCAGGAAGCCCAAGACTTAGAACAGCACAAAGATACTTACCTAGCAAGCAGGGAGAGACGTTCGGGTCCAGGGTAAATAACACAGAAATAAGGAAAGCCCCCAAGCATCACTGTAGAGATTTTGTATAACTTTGACATGATACAAGATGGTTTTCTTCCACATAAGCACAAACTTTGCACTAATGTTTCTCAATATCAATCATTTCTGTTCTAGTCTCAGTTCAACAGATTTTTAAATTATTCCTTTCCTATGTCAGAGGCAAGGGAAAAGAGGAGTGAGTACAAGAAATCCTTCAGCGACCCTGAAGAGGAAGAGCTTCAGAAGCCAGTGGGCATGAGCTCATTCAGGTCAAGAGATTGGAGATTATGGGTCTTTGGCAGCTGTTTCTTTCTATCTAACACTGGCCATCCTGGGAGACCTGAAGGCTGCTGGAGCTTCGTGGAACTCATCTGGCCTGGGTGTCTGAACCCAGAACCTCAGAAGAAAAGTAGAGCTCTATAAATGATAATATATATACACAAGCTGAAGTGACAGCTCTATGAGTACTGATCATACTCAAGATAGGGGACAAAAAACAACAGGCAAAACTTCGCAGACAGCATGCTATCCTTTAAAATCCCCAAGGAGCTAAAGGCTCTTATCAACACAGATGAACTCTGGAAGCAGATTCAAGACACTGGATCAGCCAGGAGTGGTGCACACCTGTAATCCCAGCACTCGGGAGGCTGAGGCAAGAGGATTATGAGTTTGAGGCTAGCCTGGGCTACAAAGCAAGTTCAAGGCCAGCCTAAACTGCACAGTGAAACCCTGTCTCAAAGACTGGAGCTGCACTGCCCCTGGGGAGCAGGGTTGCTGGCTGTAGGATGGGGAGGGCTGGGAGTCTTACTTGGCATAGCAGAAATTCTGTGCCATGTGCATAACCAAACAGTAACTGAAAATGCACACAAAGGATGCTCCCTAATATTACAGTGAAACTGTGCTAGACACTGTTTTATTTTAGAGAAATTTAATCTGTAACACACCCACTGGGAGATAAATTGATGCCAGAAAGCACTCTCTTAGTGGTGGCTCCTGCCTGGAAGGTGATCCTGCCACCTGCTTGGGCCAAAAAGTGCCCCTTATGCAAACTACTGGGTTATCACTGGAAGACACAGGAAGTGCAGGCACTTTCTGCCTACTGAGAAAGTAACATTTAGTAGTAAAGAAGACATGTACAAAAACAATTACAATAGTTATACCACTCATAGCTAATACTTTCCAAGCTAAAAACCTTTTTAGTGGAAATTCTGTGGAACATTTAAAGCACAAAACTAAAGCAGAAAGAAAAGTGCAATGCATCCCCATGTTCTCATCTCTGTGAAAAGCTTCTGCAAAACTGTTCCTAGGTATGACAGCTGGCTCAACTTCTAGTTCTGATACCGTGTTCAACTTTGAAGCATTTTCACCTCTATTCAACGGCTCACCTGAAGCAGAAAGAGATCACACTGTCAGTCTATAGCTGAGGGTTCCAAAGTCCTCAGCAAGCTGCTCAGTGTCACATGGCACCTGGAAAAGCAGGCTCTTAGGGTCTACAGACCCAGCTCCAAAGCAGAATCTTCCCTGCACCTTCTCCAAGGGGACACAGCTATAGCTCCAAGACCCACTCTCATTTCACTTAGCCACTGCCGAGTATCTGGACAAAATGATTTCTCAGAATGTTTCTTCAGCTTAGCTTCATGCTAAGCACACACTGTACCACCCAGCTACCCACCTGGCCCCGCACACACTATTGTGGATCCTTTTTTGAACTGTTTTTTGTTTTTTTTGGCACCAGGAAGTGCCAAAGTGAGGATGAGAATCACTTTACTTTGAATTGTTGCTTAATAAGAAAGCAAGAGAGCTGTAGAAGTGAGGAACAATTTTGTTTGGGGTGAAGGGAAGTCCTTCCCCAGGAGGCACATTTAAGCTACTTCTTCACACTTGATCTTAGCCAAAAGGCTGAGACACGATTAAGCTACTTCTTCAAAGATAGGAAAGTTTGCTCACCTAAGAATGGGAGTTTCTTCTCCCGGCCATGAACCATCATAAAAATGTATTTGGGATGGTAACTAGCCCAGTTTGCTCAGTGACTAAGATACACGTAAAGGTATTTTGCTGAATAAATAAATGATTGGGAAATAGAGGATTAACTGAGATTATAGAGCTTACTGAATGCCTAATATCTCAAGACCGGAGATCGAGGGAATGGATATTGGCATAGTAAAAACTTTATCAGTACCCCCTGAGCTGAAAACTCCTGTAATATCTATCTGAAGTATCTCACCTAGGAGGTTAACCTTAGCTTACTGAGTTGAAAGAATTACCTTAGTTAGCTTACTGAGTTAAAAGAATTTCAAAATATTGGGCCTAGCATGAAGTTTGTTGTGCTATAATTAGAGAGGAATGATTGCTTCTGGGACCCTTTAAATTGATAAAACTCAAGACAAGGCTCTACCCTGAGATTGATTTGCCATTCCAAAACTTCTGGGAGTGGACTGGAGACAGGGCACTGGGTAAACACAGCCTAGCTCAGGAGTCAGCTCATGCACAAACCCGAGGCTGCCAGGTGTGGTCGATGTGGCATGCTCTACCATTCCCTACTGATGTACCAATGCCTCTCTGTCCAAGTCACAGCACGCACCTACAAGTCATGGTGTACAACTGTGCCTGAAATGGCATGGAACAGCAAATCCCAGCTTATTCCCAAACTGAACAAGTGAATTTCTTCACAGAAGATACAGAAATGCAAAGTCTTAGACAAGAGAAAATACACACACACACAGAGGACAGGAAAAGTGAAAGCCCTTGGATTTTTCTTTCCTCTGCCCTGAGCCTTCCTTCACCTTGCTACCAATCTAGCAAATCCCTCCTTGGTGAAGGATCCTATATATCACCATTAGGAAGCAAATGTGAGGGTAGCTTTTGTTTTCTTTTTCTTTTTCTTGGTTTTTCTCCGGTACCGGGAGCTGAACTCATGACCTTGCGCTTGCCAGGCAGGTGCTTTTGCCACTGAGCTAAATCCCCAGCCCCCTTTATTTTTCTTATATTTGACATAATATCACTGCACTTAACACACAATCATAAACCTACCAAATTCTGTGTAGTATTTGTTTCATTTTGTTTTTTTTGAGACAGAGTCTCACCATATAGTCCAGGCTGGCTTCAAACTTGTGGCGATCCTCCTGCTTCAGCCTCCTGAGTGCTGGTATGTGCCACCACACCCAGCAAAATTGTGGTTATTTTCAAGTTTCTGTGTTCCTGTTAACAGCCTTGTCAAAGCTTAAAAAACAAATATAAAAAATTCTAACTTGACCAAGAGCTTCAAACTTCAGCAAAGTGTTTGAGCCAAGTGCACTATTTCTTCTCCCTTCAAAGAGGCTCCTGAAAGATTTCAACACTCTCTTGAAGGAGATGAGTGCTGAAATATTTAGAGCAGTGATTAGATTTCTGGTCTAAAAAACTAACCCAGGCAGCTAATCACAAAGTTATAGTAAAAGAATCCTAGGAACTTTCAGGTGTGCTTTTCTCCAGTGTCTTAAGGGCCACACTCTACTTCTTTCCCTCTCTCTGAAGGGAAAATACCCAGGCAGACCTTAAGATTGAGCTGACCCTGGACTTAAGGTTTTCCAGCAACACTAAGCTCTTTGTGCAGCCAATGTTAGCAATGCTTCTTAGATATTCCTCTTTTCACATACCTTCTGCAATTTCTTTAGAGGTCTCTCTGCCTCACCAGACAAACACTACCTGGCTTTTAGTTTTGTTTTGAAAATTAGTTTCTGTAGTGACAGTATCAAAGCAGTGACAGCCAACAGAAGGATTTCTGCATGAATAAACCAATCTGGACAATTGGCCTGTCTTTCAGGACTACAGCTGAGGTGACCCAATAAGAAAAACCATAGAATCTGTAGCAGGGTAAACAGTGTGCCAAATAAGAACTTAAGTATCTTAGACATTTGAAGCCATTATACAGAGATGTTTTCATGGTGGGCTAGGGCAGAGTTAGGAAGATTTGAAAATAAATGCAATTCATTTTTGGGCACTAGAGTATTTTAAATTATGTTTTATGACTATAGTATTACAGATAATCAACACTTTATTATTTACTTATGAAATATTAATATTACCATGCTCTGCCAATCTCAAATGTACATCTGTTACTATGTGACCTCGCTAAGGTCAGGGATCTCTTCTCTCTTTCCGTTTTTTTTTTTTTTTCTTTCCCCTGAGACAGAGTCTTGCATGCAGTTTAAGCTGGTCTTGAGCTCACTTTGTAGTCCAGGCTGGTCTTGAACTTGCAATGACTCTCCTGCCTGAGCCTCTCCAGTGCTGGGATTATAGGTGTGCACCACCATGCACAGTTCTTATATATCTTTGAAACTAACCTTACTCCCACCCCAACTTGGTCCTTTCTCCAAACATAGTTCTAAGCCTGTATTTGGCCCTCAGTACAAAACTTTAAGGAATATAAGTGCCATTCTCAAAGAGTCCCACTGAGACTTCAGCTAAGAGTATCCTGTTTATTACTTACAATATGTGCAATAAGGTCAGGACTTTATAAGACTATTCCAAGTTCCAATGACTTTTATCAATCTCTACAACCTTGCACTACCTACGGCCTTCCTTTATGTTTCTGCAGCACATGTGTATGTAATTCTGCCAAACCCAAACCATATTGCCATAAAAGTTCTGTTCATTGCTTCTAGTAGACCACAAGCCCCTCACTGGCAGCCAGCAGGCAAAGTCATTGATACATGGGTCAGAACAAGTGCTAGTTTTCCTGTAAGCTGATGAGGCAGCATTTAAAAGAAAAAGTCCATAGTAAAATGCATGGACACCCAGCATCAGGGTATTAGGGTATCTTAACTTCTTGTTTGCTTTGTCTTTTTGAGGCAAGGTTTCACTACGTAGTCCAGGCTGGCTTTGAACTCACTCTGTAGCCCAGGGTGGCCTTCTCCCGAGTGATGAGATTACCACATCAGTGTCCTTAACTTTTTACTGACTAGAACTACTCAATTTGACAATGTGTCTGGAACATCATACAAAATCAGGACATTCATGAGCCTTGTGGAAACAAGGCTTGGGTTACAATGACAATTAGGTAGACTTGTAATCACGGGAGTTAACTGTGTTAGGCAGAAAGTCAGACATTACCAGGCTAGGAGATAGGTGGCTGGGTGCTACTTGAAAAGCAAAGACAAGTCTTCCCCGCTCACTTTCTAACTGTTAGCTATAGACAAAACCCATACAATCCTGTGGTTTTAAATTTTAGCTCAAAAGGGTACAACATCTTCTAAGTGTGCTGATAAAGTCTAGAGTACAAAATCCACAGATAGGTGCATAAGTGAAGGTCCCAAACTAAGGGAGACAATCACCTGAGGTAGGTAAACACAGGCCATTAATAGTGACCTCAGAGGAAGTAGAGATTTTCCCTGAAAGACCCAGTTAATCTCAGAGATATAACCTGAGATCTCATTCAATGCAACTGCCATTTTGGGACTTGCCCACCTTCATGCTGCATTCTGTCTCTGAAAATCTAAACATTTTGGAACAGATTCTGCCTATACTCTATGTGATGACCTCTGCGCCTTGTCTGCAATTTTTGGTCAAAGACCCAAAGAACAGAGAGGTGTGTTACCAGCCCCTTGTGGCGTTAGGACCAAAGGTGGTGCCTGGCTCAAGGCCCCCACACAGCCATCTGCACTCACTCCCACCCCCACTGCCTGCTGCCAAGCGCTCCACAGGAGTGCAAACCCAGCCCTCCAGCCTTCCCGAAGGCCGCCCCCTTCCCTCTCTCCACGCCGCCCTCCCTCGTTCCTGGGTTCCTGCCCACGGCTCTGCTCTCCCCGGGTCGACCTGGCCGGAAGCCTCCACTCCCCACCCTCCCCACTCCCCACATTCCCGTCCTCAGCCGAGCACAAAGTCACCTTTCCGCCCTTTCTGTGGCTGAGTTCGCGCTGCACCGAAGCAGCCAAAAAGGACAGAAAACACAAGTACCGAAGGGTAAAGCGCCGGAAAAAGGAGGCTTGACTTAGCCGCGGGGGCAGGCTTACGGCCGTTAACCACGGAAGCTGGTTCGGAGTAACGGCGGCGCCCGGGCAGCGGGGTGGCCCTGGAGGGCGCCGCTGCGCCGCAGAGCGAGCTCACGCCGCCTG